CAAAATTGCCTGATCTGAACTTGGAGAACCATCTTTGGCATTTTCGAACGTCCAATGCGCTTGGATAAACATCGCAAATGTTTTTAGTCGCAGCAGTTGCGGTATTACCCTTGCGAAACTCAAAAAGCATACAATGCCGGATATGCTCTTCTGGTATTTGGCTGGCCATTTCACCCCAAATTGCAAAAAAAAAGTCTAATACTTAATTATTCAGAAGCAAATATGATACAATAACCTCAAAATCTCTTTGACACGCCTTCCAAGTACGTAATGAGCTACCAAATGACAATCAAATATCGACATGTGCAGAAACGACATTACTTTCCGGTCCCCCTAATATAATCATCAACTGCTTTCGATTTCCGCGGAAAAATTTGTACTTGACTGCTTGTTCATTTATAGCATCGAACTTTGAAATCGCGTGAATTATACCCACATCGATTCTCATTCCAGCACTTCATTTACATGTTTCTTTTTTTCTTGACTTATTTAGATACATTTACACTTGTCTTTGGAAAGCGCATCCAAATACATTCCGGTGGACGAGCTGCCGAATGAAGTAAGCGGAAAAGCAGGTTCCATATATGATTTGGCCGAGATTCGAGTAAAAGTGAGCTCGAAGAATATTGCGAGTGATTTCTGATGGACGAGGCGAATGGCGTGTGGACGAAGCGAAATGACTCGGCAAAAGCAAGTCGGCGAGCGACTTGTTTAACGTAGAAGGAAACTGTAAACCACTTGAAATCGACCGACGCAACGATATCTAGTATGCAATTATATATGCTGATATGATTATTTAATTTATAGCTTTTCTACTGGAGGAACTACTTTTTGTGACATCTTGAACTTTATAACAATTATTTTTTTGTGGAGAATCGTGATTCTTCTAACACTACTCGGAAAAGAGTTCAAAGATAACGACAAAATTCTTTACGTAAGAAAATTGCTATGCTGCAAGATATTATTTCTTTCTTATTCGTTTCTTATGCTGCTTATATAAAGTGTCGTATAAATTGGTTACATAAAACGTCTCGCAGGCGAAATATTATTTAATTATGGTTTAATAACAAAGAGCGCAGTTATAAAACGAAATATTCGAAAAACTGGGCGAATCCACTGTATAAATTTTCCACAATAATACCTCTAAAAAATTGATTCTAACGTGACTCAGGAATCTGTAATTAAAAATATGAATAAAGTTTCCGTGACATTTTAAGCGTAAAATCAAATAAAAATGTAACTAAATACAAATAAAATAAAGCAAAAATGTAAAAAGTTCTATAAGTTAAAAAGAGTCCAGAATATCGTGTGTCATAAATCATGTTTTCATAGTTGAAAAAAGATATGATCATCTTGATTAAATAAACCATTTTCATTTTACATTAGTAACTTTTATTATAATATCACTCGATATTATCGTAAGAAGACTCTTCTGATCGCGTTCTTAGCTCCAATTAGCAATTATTGAGAGTGGGAAAACAAGTTATATGTATTATTCAAAAGTAAACGTCGAGATAATTATAACGATAATAACGAAGAACAGTACAGTACGTAGCTAACACCGAAGCGGAAAAGACAAGCGAACAATTGATACTTTTATTATATTTTCAACAAAAAAGACTGATATAATAGATTTATTTGCGCTACTATCACATAATTTGACGGATTCTTATTAAAAGCTCTTAGTTTTCATCAAGACGGATTATTAAATATTTCGGAACTTGATAAACAAATACTCATTTAAAGCAACAACCGAGACAGACCAGTTTTATGGTAGTGAAGTGAGAGAGAAACTTTATATAGAAAATACGAATCCTAAGTGATGTCTTCGATAAAGTGCATCACCCTCGAGGAGAAGCTGAGGAAAAATCCAGAATTAATGTTGTCAGACATACAGATACTGAGAGAATGGTGCGAAAAACAACCACGTTTGCCGAGAATTCAGAACGTGGAGGTCGCCTTGTTCCTACATTGCAATTACCATCATATACAACCGGCGAAGGACACAATCGAGAATTATTACATTTATAGAACTCACGCGCCGTAATTATTTTCCAATCGGGACACATTGAAAGTGAATTAACTGCGAGATGCTTTTCATTTCAAGGGAGTATAAAATTTCTTTATACTGACCATTAAGCAACTTAAATTTATTCATGCGCGATGTATTATTTGTATAAACATATCACATAAAATCGTCATAAATTTTGTCATAAATTTCGTCATTCAAATTTCAGTAATTT